CCACTAGAAAATATGCTATATACTAAATTAAGAATATGACTCTTATTTTTAAAAAAATTGACATCTGTCCTACATCTCTTATATGTTTACTTGTAGCGGTATGACCTTGTTGATTAGTTAACGATGGTTGTGATATATAGATAAGATGAATTTATTATCTAGAACTAAATATATATATTTCTGTGTACATAGTCACAAGTGCGTCAAACGAATTCTTATGATAGACTGATTTTAATTTTGTGAGTCGTACACACCAGTGATAACGATCATGCGGAAAGAGAATGAATGCCATCGATGATAAAGAAAGATATATATTACATTCAATAGCAATGTTGATAATGAGACATTGCCCTCTCGAAAATCAATCTGATTAAAAAAAAAAAGAAGAACATGAATTATTGCTCTTTCTTGAACAACCTGTGTTTGTTTCATTTTTCCTCAATCGGCACGTATTTCTTGATCCATATCGAAAGAGATGGTCAAGAGCATACTGTGAACTAATAGAAATGGAAATGGAACGTGTGTATGCCCTGCGCTGTCCATTTCATTTATGTTCAAAACAATCTTATCATTTTACACACATACGTTTTCCTCTCATCATTATCACATACGTATATATATATATATATGTAGTCGGTTAGGCTTGCGGCTACAATCAATATTACTCTCATGTCTAAGTTATTTACATTTCGTTCTCTTTTTTTTCTTGACTTCTCTGATCTTGTTCAGTCAACTGAGAAATCTTGACTTGACACAGATGAGATGATGAAAGATATTTCCTGCCTATCCCGATCGTTTTCTATGACATAACATTATTTAGATAAATATTCTTTTGTTGAATCAATAGATATATATATAACAAGTTTTTTTTTCTTCTTTAAACATAATTGAGACCATGCATAATCGTCAGTTCTAATGAAGTTAGACTTATATTTATTTATACGAACAATGTTTGCTAGTTGTTTATATTTAAAGTGCTATAGAGTACTAATTGATTAAGTGTGCCCCTATTGTGATATAAAAAAGAAGCTTTTGTAGTAATACAAAACAAAATTACTGTTATGTTATAATTATCTGAATAATTTCGACCTCGATTAAATATTATATTTTGTTGCACACACAGATGTGATGGCATCATATGTATATTTAATTTCATTTATAGTTCCATAAAGAACAAATGTGATGTTATGCTTAATAGTCGAATTTTAATGACTATTATTAATGGAAGACAAGAATAAATACATGATATAATTATAAAGCATTGGATTGTTTTTTTTTCTTTCTAAAAATGAAATTGCAAGACTAATAAAAAAAGAGTTACACATTAACTTACGCTTTGTATTACATGATAGCCTTCTAGAAAGAAAAAACACATAACATTTTCTTAATTTATTATCTTCCAATTGCCTTGAAAATAGAGAAAACCTTGTCTTTTTTTTGCCTCTCTAATACATCCCTTTCTTTTATATTATTAAATTATTTTGTAGACATATTTTCTTGGTTAAGATGCTATGATGATGAAGCAAAAAAAAAGACTCATCAACTATCCTTCGACAGTAAACCATTTGTGAGAGCAGCTTTGTCATCTTCTTATATTTTAATTCTATTTTCTCTAATAACAAAATAGAAAAAGATTAAGCATTGAACACAGTAAGAAAGTGACTTTTCGTCTCACTTTTTCATTGCAAGCTTCGGTTGAAATAGTCCGTTACGATCTCTGAACATAAGAAAAAAGACAGGATGTTCAGAGTGAAATTTGTCCAGGAGTTCGTGATGAACTATGACAATCTATTGTTAGTGGTTAAATAGCGAAATTTTGACTGGAGATCGGAATGAGAAAGTTCGGAAGTTTGTAATGACAGAGACCGAGTGGTTGTAATGAAAACTTCCGAACATCCTGTCACACCATTCTGATTTCTCTGCTTTTCTATTACGATCTCCCGTACAAAAATGTTTACGAATTTTGGTCATAAATGTTTAAGGACAGAAATTCATTTCCGAACACTCGGACACATGTTCGGAGTTCAGAATGACTCGAGACGAAAAGTACGTCACCCGACACAGTTGTCTTGAATAAAGATTAATCAATGATATAGATGTTGATCATATTTCAACTTTTCTGATGTCAATCATAAGTTTTGTTTATATTTTTCATTTAGTAATTGATGATAATCTATTGTATTCAATAAATGGGAGAGAAATGTAAACATCAAAATTATCATTGCTTAATGGCAATCGTGAACTATATATATTGTCTTAGAAATAATTATATCTGTTGAAAATGATGATCAAACCTCGTAATTGCTTGAATTATAAAACTAGATAATAATACAATATAATGTAAAAAAACGATTAGCAAGAAGTACTCAAATAATGGATTAATGAAACTTTAATAAAACAATAGTATTAATCAAAAGAAATAATAAAATAAATGAACACTATTTAGAAAATCTTTTGATTTTTTAAGTAAAAAAATCACGTAAAAACTCTTTGAATGTTTTTTAGAACAAAAAATAAAAGATTTGCAAATCTATCAAGAATGAAAGATTATATTAATATTTGTAATAGAAAACAGAAAATAAAAGAGATATTATAATTTTCTATGCCAATAATTTTTTTCCACTTAGAATTATAAATCTGATAATATATTCAAGGAAATAAAATATAACACTTGTTGAGACATTTCTTATCCTTACCTTTTATCCGTAACTGTAAAAGTTGAGTCTGTATAATTTTCATTCAAAATATGATTTTATTCTACATTCCAAGAGATATCAACAATATCAAAGTTGAAAATTGAATTCAATTATTCAAGACCTTTTCAGATATTTTACTATCCATCGGTTGCTCCGTCAGCACGAGAAATAAATAATTGTATGTTGGAATTTCAAGTTTTCAGTTATAAGATATTCGATAATTGAATGCAACTTTCAAGTTAAATATTAATGATAAAATGAGGTAGGAACTATATTTTGATATGGTTCGTTTTACAAAAACCATTAGAAAATCATTAGTACTTACTTTAAACTGTCTTATGTTATATTTTTATTTTTATTTTTCTCATTGGTTTTCTTTGTCGCATGTTTTTTAATTGAATATACATACATACATGATATGCAAAAATGAATTAAAATACAATTACATATGTTATAAATTAAAGCTACATTATTGCAACAGTATATATATAAATATGCTGATATTGATACAAAGTTATTGATTATTAAGTATGAGACGACAAGAAGAAACTATAGGACACAGTTATACTACCAAAAGGTTTAGAAGATACAAAATATTTTTTTTGGTAAAATATATCGAATAAAATAAATTATCTAATCAAATAATGATAGAGTCGATTTTATGCAGAATATTATTCTCAGTAAAAGTTTCTTCTTATGTCTTGATCGAGACGCTTTAGAAGTTATATTGAAGGGACGTACTGTTGATAAAAAAATTTAATGTTTTTTCTTCATGTGTAATGCTTTTTTTTAAATATAAAATGTTATAGAATTAGTTTTTATCGATCCTATTTTGTTTTATCTGTAGTCTCTTCTTTGGATGCAAAAAAGAATCCATAAAGAATTATTTAATATCAATTGAATGCTTGCTTTTTTTTATAATATTGTCCTGTAAACATGGGAAACCATTAGAGATAATGTTCATCTTTACTTGAGATATTTATATCATTTAGAGTGAAACGACGAAAACAACGATTAGAGGGAAGATCACAAATAAATTTCGTAACTCTGACCATTTTCATCTTTTTCCGAATATTTTTAATACTAGTGCAGTCAAAAAGATTATTGGTATTTCTATTATTTTTACAATGATTCATGACGTTCGATTAATCGCTCTCTAATGGCAGCAGCACTATTGCGTTTCGATGTCTGTATCTTTGACGACAATGTTCTTTTTGTTTATATTTCATTACAAATCAATTTCAAGAAAAAAAAAGATTTGACCTGATCAAATATAAATATTATGCAAAAACTGGAACTACTCGCTATCAACAATCTGTTTCGTCGAAAAATAAGTTCAAATTCTCTGCAAAGAGATTATTATACTGTTGAGGAATGGTATGTGGATCTTCTGTGGACATCTTACTCGATACATTCTGTTGTTGATACTTACAATACTGTGAAATTGCTTGCAGACAGAAGTCGAAGTGCACTAGCAAGCGGTAAAGAGTGTTTCTATAATGATATTGTCGAGAATTTTCTTGAAAAAGACTATCAACGATTATTTTTTGTGATGTGGAAACCTTTTGAGATGTAAAACAGAGGAATGCAACTGCTTTCTTTCATTTAATTCTTTCTGTAGTTGTTGAAGAACTGGTAAACATAGAAAACGCATCTATCGTGGCAGTAAATAAAAATAACAACATATTGAGCAGTATGAAGCAGTGATTGACCACATAAATTGTTCATTGACATTTTCGTCGACTAAAACAATTCAAATGTGATCTTCACCTTCAACATGACATCTGCTTCAGACGAAACTATAATGTTACTTATCATTGATACTACTGAACGTCCCTTTAACATAATTGATCGAATTTAATATATCATCTATGTCAGCATATTTAGAAAAGAAAACTTTTACGTGCTGGTATAGACTTCGTAGTGAATAAGTTACCTTTGATGAAACCACTAGAAAGTGTATGGTTTATTAAATGACTTCATGATTTTAGATTCATTGAGTTCGAACGCATCTGTATTTTACTTTCATAGCTTGTGTTTCTGTTAGATTTTATTTATATCAGTTTCACACCTTTTTTTCTTTCTGTCGGAAAGAAATTTAGACATTTGCAACTTCAAAATTAACGATGCATTGTACGTAACCGATCTCAGCACAACAAGTGTATATACCTACATAAATATTGAGTGAATCAAAATAAGAAACAAAAAGGTAAACATTCAACTCATCAACTCTTTTTAAAAATGATTAAACCTCTAAGACTAACCAAGTTTATTATAGTAGTAAAAAAAATTAGCACAATCTTTTTAATCATTGTTCTTAATTAAATCTGCTGCTCTCTCAGCTATTGCAACTGTTGGAATATTTGTATTACCAGAAATGATGTTCGGCATAATACTTGCATCAACCACACGTAGACCTCTTACGCCTTTGACTCGTGTATCAGGTGTTACAACTGTCATGGGATCCTCTTCTTTTCCCATTTTACATGTGCCAGTCGGATGATAGATTGTAGTAGTATACTTTCGAACATACGATTCCCAAAATTCATCTTCATTTTCTGTTGCTTCATCTCCATTCATTTCTTTTGCCATTGACTTGAGTGCACTATTCAACGGTTTAGTCTGACAAATTTTTTCAGCTAGTTTACATCCTTCAACCATTTTACGAACATCTTCTTTGTCCTCCAAATAATTTGGACTGATAATTGGATGTGCAAGAGGATCACAACTTGCAAGTGTAATTTCACCCTTTGATTCAGGATGTAGAAGTGTCGGCAAGTATACAACAGTCCATTGTGATTCATCAGTTAGATGCGGTTTTAAATACTGCTCATAAACTTCTGGTTTGAAATTAAAGTTTCGAAAAAGTTCAGCATCAACTGTAACCGGAAGAAAATGTACTTGAATATCAGGTACTTGTGTCTTATCTAAAAGAATAGATAATTAACGATGACAATGTAAACCAATAGAAAAAAAATTGAATCTATACTCGAATTACCATTTTCATTCAATTGATACCACGCTAGTGATTCAGAAACACATGAAGTTAAGGGACCTTTTCCTTGAGTTGCCCATTTTTGTAAGTTTTCGGGTGTCAAATCACGAGTTGAAAGTGTTGGTATTTTAGTCAAATAGACTAGAATAGTCATCATATGATCTTGTAAATTTTTACCAACACCAGGTAAATCAACGATGACAGGTATTTGATGTTTCTGTAATTCTTCTCGAGGACCAACTCCAGAGAGAAGAAGTATTTGAGCACTTCCAACTGTACCAGCTGATAGTATGACTTCTTTACCTTTAATAAAGTCTTCTTTATCCAATGAGCTAGTACGCTTAACAGTGACACCTAAAAATATGAAGAGTGTTTCATTCAAAATCATATATCCGATAGAAACAAAAGTAGATAGAACTTCAGAAAAGTAAATTTCCTAACACTTTTCGAAACATTATTTGCGCTGGATATCATAGAAAATAGATTGCAACATTTTTGCTAGTTTGACCTGTCAAATCAACGAGAAAATTGAATTTCTGTCAAATTCACATTATTTTGCCTTTTCTATCATCACTATGTGCTTTAGATGAAATTTTGCTAATAAAGACAAAACCATGGCAAAAACTACTTTAGAGCAAATTCATATTCTCTATCTTGAAAATTTTTACAGAATATAATGAAAAAGAAGATAAGAATATTTTTATGGTCTCAATCAAAACTATTTTACAAATAAACATTTCTAATTTAACACTCACCAGATACTTGTTTTTGTTCATCAAATACTACTCGGCAAGTATGTGCATGTATTAGCAAGTCAAAACTTTTTCTTTTTACTGCTGTCAAGAGATAACCACTTGCTGTTGACCAACGTTTTCCTCCTTTTGTTGAAATTTGTGACATTGATACGCATCCATTAAGACTTTCTTCAGCATTATAATCTTTAGTTTCATGAAATCCGTTCTTCTCACATGCTTCAATAAACAATTGATTTGTTGGATTTGTTTCTTCAAGCATTGTTACATTCATCATTCCTTTATCTTGATCGTGATTACGAAAATGCTCATTCCTTGGAATTGTGTTCGGATCAGCACGTTCTAATTTTTTAAAATATTTTAACATTTCTTGAAATGACCACTGTGGTAATTGCCAATTATCGTAATCATGTGGATCACCACGAACATATTGCATATAGTTTATAGATGAACAACCACCTAAAACTTTACCACGCGGCCAATTACTTTGTTGATTAACACAGCTAAAATGTGAATGAAGTTGAGGTATAGTCTTATATTGCCAATCAATTTCACCAAGTTGGCAGCTACCACTAGAACACAAAAAAGATGGCATGCGTTAGTCTGTGAGTGACAAAATGTCTCTAACTGAAAGAAGTACAGTAAGACTTTTTATGAGTTTCCTGGTTTTATTTCTTAGAAATTTTATTTTTTATTTTATAAAAAGAAATGAAGACTTATATTAAAATCTCTCTTCTTCTGTGTTCACAACTCGTTGTATGACAACATTTTATGCAAAGTTCGAAAATCAGAGTTTTTTGACGCAAATTACAATAGTACTTATTGAAAAGATCATTTTTTTTATCGAATAATCTCTTCTATAAGAAACATAAAGCTTGAAGAATAGTCGTCTTTTGTCAAAACTGATACCACTATGTGTGATACTCTGATCATTTTAACTTGATCGAGTTCTCACTTACCAAGCAGCTGGCATATGTATTTGGTCCGTTGTATCGACACCGCCAGCTTCAATAAGAAGAACACGTTTATCAGCTTGTTCTGAGAGACGAGTAGCTAAGACAGCACCTGCTGAGCCTGAGCCAACAATAATGTAATCATATGTAATTCCATCAGTTTTTGTCTGTGAAAAATCTCGTTCCCATCGTTCTACAACAGCTGGTGATTCACTGACAACTGGTGCAGCAGCTTGCTCAGCAACGCTTGTATTTGACATGTTTCAGGCACAGAAAAGATATCAACTAAATAAAATCTAAAAAGGGCAAATACAAAATTACATATGAAACCACGTTTTCTTCAGACAGTGCACTGTATCTATATATAGAGCAAAGATAAGAAAAATGATAATATAAAAAAAAGAGAGGATTGGACACTCGATTCATCGGTGACAAAAATGCTACATTGCAGCGAAAAGATGACACTAATGTCAGAAATGGTCTACCACTAAACATTCCGCACTACAAAAATGATGTGTAGTATTAATTTTATACGTATCTGTTCACTCATAGCTTCTAACTATAGGAAAAATGAAAATCAACAAGAAAAATGAATAATAGCATAAGAAAAATGTATAAGGAAAAATGATGTCTACTATTAATTTTACACGAATATGTTCACTCATAGCTTGTACGTGCGAGGGTTGGCCAACGATTCGATCGGTGTGAAAAATGTTAATTTTCACCAGAATTTTGATGTCCAAG